GGGGTTAGGGTTTAGGGGTTTATAGGGTTTAGGGGTTTATAGGGTTTAGGGTTTAGGGTTCCTTTAAGGGATCGAGACTACTCAGTCGGACATGTCTCCCCTAAGCTTTTCAAAACACGTCTCCTCGACAAATCTCAGGAATCCCACCAACATTCAGTTGTAGGGTTTAGGGTTTAGGGTTTAGGGGACCGTCACAAGCTACAAAGCCCTGTATGCACAACGAAGTCCGGGAGATGTGCGGTTGTCGGCGACACGGAAAACACCTCCGAGGAGGGGCTATTGGGTTATGTTCTGCGTGCCAGTCCATTTCATGCCATGAACCTGGGTTGAGGGTTTAGGGTTTAGGGTTTTGGGTTTAGGGTTTTGGGTTTAGGGTTCTGTTTGGATATAGACGCCTTCTTTTGGGGGCCTTATAATAAGCATCCTATTATTTAACGTACTATCTTAGGGTTCCCTATGTTCGGAAACCCCCATTTCATGCCATGAACCAAGTCTGTTTGGATATAGACAACCTCCGCCCCAGACAAGCACATGCTAGACGTGCTGGGCGACCTGGAATGGACTGGGTAGTTGAAGCTTTAAAGATGCCTTTGAAGTCATGCACGTTCCTGGGGCTGTTTCGACGTGCATGATGTATATAGCCCAACTTTAACAAGTCAAAGCCGAAGCACTGTCAAGATCGCCACCCTTCAAGAGAATCACTCCAGGCTTCGGCATCTATTGGTGATTGCTTGCGGTGTCTGGTTTCCTGTGCGAATACACGGTCGTACTGCTTCCAAGTTTGATGACTTGTTTCACTGCATTTTATACTTTGCATAGTGTTCCCTGCGGTTACTATACGGATGCTGCAGGATTTATTATGCGTGTTTCCATGTTGCTTTGTTTATTGTTGTCCTCTTCCTTCGTGGATGTGGGGCTCTCATCTTTCCAGTGCTTGCCTTGGTTTTATGTGGGTTCTAACCCTAAACCCTAAACCCTAAACCCTAATTACAGGCTGTAGGGGTTTTGGCATTTACCAAGGCAGCGCAGCGGAACAGCCTGGCGGCAGCTGGAGGGAAAGGCGAGAGGGTGGGTTTAGGGTTTAGGGTTTAGGGTTTAGGGGTTTAGCGTTGAGGGTTTAGGGTTTAGGGTCTAGGGGTACGTACGTAGGGTTTGAGATTGTCGGGATTTACGGTGCAAGTTTTGGGGATGTGGGTCTAGCAATTCGAGCCTGGGCGAGTGTAACTATAGGGTCCGGGACGTAGGGTTAAGTGTGAACGGCCTGCGGGCTTTTGTTCTTTTTCTTGTGTGTGCACATTCATGTACTTGGTTAAGTAACACTAGCCTCCCATAATATACGCCCCCAAAACCTGCTTTCATTATTCAGGCCCAGGATTATAAGTGAACCTGAAACCCAAAAGCCTATCCTAAACCCAACACCCGAGATCCTACACCCTAAACCCTACGCCCCACACCCTCAGCCCAGAAGCCTGAGCCCACTAATCCTAGCCCCTAAACCCTAAACCCTAAACCCTAAACCCTAAACCCCAAACGCCTCAAAACCCCGTGCCCTGCGCCCAGGTGACCGAGCTGGAGGCTGCCGTCCGCACAGAGGCCATTCCCTCCTCCGAGCTTTGGGTTTAGCGTTTAGGGTTTAGGGTTTAGAGTTTAGAGTTTAGGGTTTAGGGTTTTTGGTTAGGGTTTAGGGTTTAGGGTTTTAGGGTAGAGGGAGTTTGTCCTTGCAAGGGTTTCCGTCTTGAGGGTTTGGGCTTTAGGGTTTATAGGGCTTATATAGGATCCCACTATTTAGGATTCTATATTACGGTCCCTGCTACAGCACTTTATAAATTGTGTTACTCAAGTTGGGTGCCGTTACTCAAGCTTCGTTTGGTCTCCTGGGCACCTAGCGCCCCCCCTCCTATGCTTCAGACCGAAAGCCCTGGCAAGCAAAGGGGATTCTTGCAGAGGTTCCGGCCCCCAAATTAGGGAATGAATTTTGGTTCATACTGAAAAAAGAAGCTCCATATAAATTCAGTGATATTCCCTAGCAAGGGAGGTACCTTGATTGCAACCCACTTCATCGCCTGACCCTGCAAGCTGCAAGTAGACACCTTTACGCTCACATAAACCCATACAGCCCTCCAGAAAGCCTTCTAACACCTTCTGGAGCCCGTAGAACAGTTTCCTAGACCCTAGCCCTTCAACCCTGAAGCGCTAAACCAAACAACCCCAAACCCTAAAATCCTGCACCCTAGACCCTGAAGCCCTAAAGCCCTAAAGCCCTAAAACTCTAAACCCTAAAACCATAGACGCTAAAACCCTGAAGCCCCAGAGCCCTAAAACCCTCAACCCCTAAAGCCCTCAACCCCTAAAACCTAAACCCTAAACCCTAAACTATAAAACCCTAAACCCTGAAACCCTAAAGCCCTCAACCCCTAAAGCGGACCCTTAAAGGGACCCTAAGAAGGACCCTAAGGCCTAAAGCCTCAACCCTAAACCCTAAACCCTAAACCCTAAACCCTAAACCCTAAACCCTGAAACCCTAAAGCCCTCAACCCCTAAAGCCTCTTCAAGCGGAGGTCCGGGACCGGAAAGAGCTGCAGGCCGAGCTGAAGCGGGCCTTGGATGCGGAGGTCTTAACCCGAGAGGAGCGCTCGGTTCTTTCGCAGGGCTCTGGGAATGCCTTTTCTTCTAAATGAAAGGGTTTTGGGTTTAGGCTAGGGTTTAGGGTTTAGGGTTTAGAGTTTAGGGTTTTTATTTAGGGGGTTCGTCAGGTTTTGTATCATTTGTTGGTTCTATGTGTTGGTGGGTTTTATGAGGGAGTTGATCAGGGGATGTGTTGTTTTGAGGTTCTGCCATGGTTGTTTGGGATATAAAGTCAGCTTTGCAGGGTGGATTGAGGCTTTATCTGTCTGGTGCTTAGTAGGGAATGGGGGAGTGGATCCCTATGATAGTCCCTTAAGGTTCCTTATAGTAGTCCCTATAACCCATTCCCCCATTCCCTACTGAGCTGTTGGTTCAGGGAACGCCCTTCTGCCAAGCTTGGCCACGCCACTACGAAGACCCTGTGACAACCTTCAGAGACCCTAAACCCTAATGTAGGGGCCTTAAATAATTAGAATAGGGTTTTGGGGGCTCCGAATAATAATTATGGAGCCTATTCTAAGTATTAAGGCCCCTACATTAAACCCTAAACCCTAAACCCTAAACCCTAAACCCTAAACCCTAAACCCTAAACCCTAAACTGCGGCGAGGAGGGCTTGGCAACGGAAAAACGGAGCAGGGAAGCCTCCAACGCACAGCTGGATGAGCTCTTAAAGGCGGGCCTGCACTTCTTTGTCGTAGTTTATAGGGTTTAGGGTTTAGGGTTTAGGGTTTAGGGTTTAGGGTTTAGGGTTTAGGGTTTAGGGTGTTTATGGGTATTTAAACTCAATAAGGAATATCATGTAGATGTTCGATACTCTCCCAACCATGAACTAGACTTGTGGTTCCGTTGACTTCGGTTTTGGGGTTTTGAGGGGTTGTTGGGGTTTCAGGTTTCAGGTTTAGGGGTATGGTTTGTGGTGTTAGGGTTTAGGGTTTAGGCTTGGGGATCGTCTTTCAGGCATGCGTGCTGGGTTTGGAGATCTAGGGTTGAGGGCTTTCGGGCTTGGGGCGAGGGTGAAGACCCGAGCCTTTTCGCCTGGGTGTGCCACTGATATCCTACAGCGCTAAACTCTAAACGCGGAGTCAACACCAACCAGCGTAAGCTGCACATTATAGACCGCCCCAAACCCTAAAGTAACTGGGGGGGGGGGACGATCTCACCACAGAGTGGTCTACCAGTTACTGCAAACTTAAAGGCTGTGGCTCTAGGGTGATGGTGGTCCATCAGATACAACAAGCTCAAATTTTCTGGGGCTTAGGGTTCCTGTCAGAAGCCATTAAGTTAAAGGGTAATGTAGGGTTGTGGGCTAGGGTTCAGGGTTGAGGGTTTGCGCTTCAAATGCCAACAGCCCTAAGCTTCATGGCAGCGTGATTCGAAATCCATACAGAAGTATGGAAAGCTTGTGTAATTCCAATAAACAGAATTACTATCGGGGCCTAAGTTTTGCCAACATGATTTTGGAGGTTCCTTATTATAATAAGAGTATAATATACCCAAGACCCTATTCTAAATATCAAGGCCCCTATACTACGGAGCCTGAAAGCCGTTTAAAAGCTCCGAACCCCCCAAAAACCGAGCTCCAGGTACAACAGATAGATGCCCTAAGTCCCCCCAAACCCCAAAGCCTACAACCCTAAACTCTAAACCCTAGAGCCTAAACTGGAAGTTCAGGTCAGCCTACTCGAGGAGCGGACTCAACGTGGGCTCTGCATCGAGGACTGTCGCAAGGACCTGGCGGCTGTGAAGGCGGAGCTTCCATGCCAAAGTGCAGAGGTTTCGATCAAGAGTTTAGTTCTATACGCGTTACAGGGATTTTGGCGGATTTTGTAGCTGTGATTTTTAGAAAGTGTTTCTATACCGTGTCTTTTAATGGCTTGTATGCTTTTTGTTTACGGTTGTTCCACCCGGTTGATGTCACAGCGTGTAAGGCCAGGTTCTGGCACAAGACAGTGTGGATCGTTCCTTTTCGTACTTGCGCCGCCATGGCCGGTTTCCTTCGACATTGCCATCCTGACTTTTTCCATGCCATCCTGACTTTTTCAACGATTGCCAATAAGACTGCAAGGNNTTATGACGTCTTCATGCCGATTGCCACCTAGCCTTCTGGCTGCTGGAATGCCATTGGAATCTCTCCTAATATGCTGCAGCCAGAACCTCTGGAACATCCCAACCGACTGTCAGGATTGCAGGTGCGCCCGCCCGCACTTGTCAGAGAGGTGCATTTCTGGATCACTGGCAAGATGATTTGTTAAATGCTTCCCCACGTTGGAGGACGACAACTCCAAGTTTCATGCAGTCTTTGGCTTATTCCAAAATGCTGTCCAGGGGAGCCGACATGAGGCGAACCGGGGGACCACGGCCTTCCCATGCTCTATGCCAATATCGTTTGACTATCAGGTGATTCATCTTTTATCGGCGAGTGGTCACGAATGCCCCTTGTGCGTCGGGTGAGCTTCACCAGTGATTCCTTTCATACTAAGTTTTCACCCGCGGTGGCCGGAAAATTTACCCTAGTCCTGCCATCGTTTCATCCGAAAAGGGCAGCGAAGAGCCCTGTATAGGCATGCTCATCGTATATGTAGTTTCTCTGGACTTTTTTCCCTTGCCTTATGCCGTATGCTTCCGCCGACTTTTATGTTTTCCCCGCACGTTGCCCCCATTTCAAGGGCTGCTGACGAGCGGTCTCACCTTAAGAATCAACATTAAGCCCTCTATATTTGAAGGTATTTTTTTAATTTCTTAATTACGGGGTATTGGGATCTCTGGGGATAAATATATAACATGAGTTCTTGAATTGCAAGACAGGAGCCTACATGATTCCCAATAGAATTCCTGAGGGCTCGTTATGTATGAACAGGATCATATGCCACAACACCCTCTTCTTATTTTGAATGCCTCTATGGCACAGTACCCCTGCAGAACTCAGCCCTGAAGCCGTGTAACCTCTAGCTCAGATCCCAATACCCCTTAATTTAGGGATACCCCTGAAATCATAGGGGCCTTAATACTATGGTTTAAGGCGTTCCGTATTTTTGGGGCATTGAGTTCTCTGGGCCGTTCCCTCGAAGCCTCTGAGCCCTCATAAATCTACGGCAAAGACTACGACATGGAGGTCGCGGGTAATTCATGTAAACCCCTGATGAGGAAGCACATTGTCTGTAAAGGCTCGAATGCTGGAATCATACATTGATCCTTATGAGAGGAGAGGGTTTCCTTGTCTGGGATCCGCATCAACGATATCTGCTTATGGTCCCTATCCCCCAAACCAGAACCATCATTTGACTTACGCAGCCCAATTTCTGAAATCCTAAGACTCCAGGCCAAACCCCAACGACACAGTCCCCAAAGCAACGAAGCCCAACGCTTTAACAAAGAAAAAGCAGCCCAACAACACCCCCGCCTTTAAAAAACACACAACAGCCCCAATGCCCCTTACAAACTCCTTGTAAAGGGCTCCACGCCAGACCGAATGGGATCCCTAATTTGATCGTACTATCCTTAACATGATCCCATGTCGGATTCCCAAACCAATTCCTAATAATCATAGACCCTAGACTCTAAGCCCTAGACCCTAAACCGGCACCCTTTCAGGGGCGCTTGGCCGAAGAGGGAGCTCGAAGGGACCACGACACGGCAGAGCGCCAGTTCGAACTCCAGACGCTGGGGCTTTTGCGTTTAAGTGTTGTGTTTGTTGTTTTGTTTGTTTGTTTGTTTGCGTGGGCTGTACGATTTGAGTGTCTTGAGGCTTCTGCATATGTATATGTGTGTATTATACCAATACGTCGTATCGTATATAAGAGCTATATACTGCCGATAGTTTAGGTTGCTGCAGGATTCAGGATTTCGCCCGCCAGCAGTAGGGTTGACGGTCGTAGGCTCTCGGTGGTTAGGGGTCAAAGGCTAGGTAGGTTTCAGGTTGTAGGGAGGGGTCAAAGGTTCGGTAGCTTTCATGTTTGCTTGTCATTTTTTGGTTTTTTGCATGGACAAGGCCGTTTTGGTGTTGTTGTGAGCATGGTCTTTGTGTTACTGTGCAGTGGTCTCCGTAAAGCCCCCATAGATGTCGATAGTGTTTTCGGGTTTCTGGCTGGAAATCTGGTTTTCATTTTGTCAAGGTTTGGGATTGAAGGCGGCTACAAGGTGACGGATGCGGGGTGGAGTCTCGGGGTCTGTTTGCTCTGTGTGCCGCAAGTATGACCCCAAGAACATGGAGGCTCTTCTAAATGCTTGTGGTTTAGGCTTTATGAGGGTTTAGGGTTTATAGGGTTTCATTACAACTCTTTTCAGTCCTCTTTCCTCTGTTGAGTGGCAGGAAACGCCCCACAGATAAGGGACCTTGGTAGAGACCCCCAAGCAGCGGGATCGTTACATGGGGATCTTTGGCACCCTCATACGAGGGTTTCCGAAAGTAGGGGACCCTAATGTGATACCCTAAGATGATACTCTAAATGGTAGGACCCCTTTTATAAGGACCCCAGAATAAGGTACCCCCTAATGTTCGGAAGCTCCCATATTACTGAAACCAGCATATTTCTGTTTCAGGATCCTGGTTGACCCACAGTTCAAGGCTTGAGCACTGGGCTGACTGGCATTAGCCTAGCTTCGGGGTTCCCTTATCTACCCGGACTCGTGTTATAAAGACCCTCGAAACCCCAAGCTACCCTAAACCTTATAATCCCTAGGCCCTAAGCCCTAAACTCAAAGCCCAGCTGTCCAGACCTCTTTTCTGTTGCTGGGCAGCAAGGAAACTCGAAACGGCCCTGGCCGACATACACCGGGAGCGCTCCGCAGACGTCAGTCGCCCCTCGGTCTTGCGTCAGAGGTTTAGGATTTAGGGGTTTAGGGTTTAGGGTTTAGGGAAAGGGCTTTGCAGGAGTGATGAACTTGAGTGGGTTGATGAACTTGAGTGGGGGATTCCCAAATGAGCCATACCTATAGTCTCCATTGTAGTTCCTTTTTGGGGATGCCTCCTAGTTAAACCAAAAAAAGGAACTACAATGGAGATTACAGATACGTTTTGAAGGCCCCTGATTCCACAGAGCATATCATTGAACAAACAGTGACAATAGCTCAGACAGAAGTGGCCATAGCAGCAGGGACGGCGATGATGACTGCACCTAGGGGCCTCAATTTCTGTAATGTGGGACCCTGCCCTGCACCCGGAAGCTGCAGAAAGGTTAGCAAGAATATCCCAGAGAACCCAATACCCCTTAATTAAGGAATATACCTTAAATCAAAATATTGAGGCCCTTATAGTTTAAGGTATATTCCTTCATTAAGGGGTATTGGGTTCTCTAGGATCCCGTCATAGTCCCTATAATGCCACACTGTACTATGGCCCGACAATTACTAGGGTTTAGGGTTTAGGGTTTTAGGGTTTAGGGTTTAGGGTTCAGAGTACCTAAACCCTAAACCCTAAACCCTAAACCCTAAACCCTAAACCCGACAAAACACTGAACCCTAAATGCTCCTCCCCCGAGGCCTCAGGGACACCTTGGAACATGTCCGCGGGGAGTTTCTGGAGGGCAGCAAGGCTTTGAAGGACGAGGCCGCCTTGAGTCTGGGTTGTGCTAACTTATATTTTAATGCTACCATAGTGCGGATCTGTGGTGAATGATATGGTCTCCTTACTGTGGTGACTTAAACCCTAAACCCTAAACCTTGAACACCTAAACCCCGAAACCCCGAAACCCAAGACCTAAAACCAAGTAGCTTCCTGAACCGGGAATCTCGTGCCATGGCGGAGCCGTTGAAGGTGTTTTTTTGGGGGTCTTCCTAAACCCTAAACCCCTAAACCCCCAAACCCCCAAACCCCTAAACCCTAACCCCCAAACCCCTAAACCCTAACCCCCAAAGCCCTAAACCCGAACCCCCAAACCCCTAAACCCTACCCAAACCCTTCAACCCTGAACCCTAAATCCTAAACCCCCAAGCAGGTCTCGGGGTTTAAACCTTGCAGGGTTTGGGGTTTGGCGGGCTCAGGCTACAGATTTTGGAGCGACCTGAAACCCTGGACCCGAAAGACGAAAATGGGATCTAAACACTAACATAACCCTATCGGTTCAGGGCTTAGGGTTTAGGGTTTAGGGTTTAGGGTTCAGGGTTTAGGGTAGGTTTAGAAAAAATATCAAGAGCAATGCCTCGGAGCATCAAGCCTGGAACCTTAATTCCGAAGCCTCGGCATAAACAGTTCCTATCCACCGGCTTAAATCCGATGGTGCATCAGGGTTTTCATTCCGGGTTCCTGTCAGCTACCTGGTCTAGCACAAAAACCCTAAACCCTAAACGGCCCTAAACCCCACAACTTCCCCAAGAGTCCTCTCGACATGCCCATGAATGCACCATAGAGGCCCATGGAGAACCCAAACCCTCAACGCGGCACCCCCAATCCCTTACCCAGAGAACCCAATACCCCTTAATTAAGGGATATATCTTAAACCACAATATTAAGGCCCCCATAGTTTCAGGTATATTCCTGAATTAAGGGGTATTGGGTTCTCTGGGTACAATCCCTCGACCCAAGACCTTAAATACCAAGCCTTCAACCCTAGACCCTAAACCCTAAACCCTAAGCCCGCCGACCCAGCCCGAAAACCTTAGACCATGAATGCACCTACATACCCAAAACCCTAAGCCCCGAACCGCAAGCCCCGAACCCTAAGCCCTAAACCCTAAACCCAAAGCCCTGAACCCTAAACCCTAAACCCTAAAGCGCTAAAGCCCTAAGCCGTGAACCTTATACTCTAAACCCCTAAACGCCACGACATCGACCGAGAGGCAGGAGACCCGAGTGGACATTGAGGAGGTGGAGCAGCCCAGTGAGACCGCGGGAGCAAGCACTGAAGGGACCCGAGATTGCCCGTGACCGACTTCGCTCAGGGCCACAGACTGTGGAGTCACGGGGACCTTTCTGACGTCAAGCAGGCGATGGGAATGGAGCTGCAGGGCATTTGCTAGGCTCAGTAGCTGGTGGGACTAAACCCTAAACCCTAAACCCCAGTCAACAAGGTGATCCCAGGGCAGAAATCCCTAAACCCCAAACCCCTAAATGCAGGTACTCAAGCTCGACGCTCGTTGCCTTGCCGACCGTGCGACAGCCGAGGGGATCGGCAGAATCGCCCGGGAGCAGGCGGGGCGACAAGGGTTGTTTTGCAAACTTAGTGTTCCTTCTGTAGAGGCTTAATATATACTAAACTACTAAACCCTAAACCCTAAACCCTAATCCCTAAACCCTAAACCCTAAACCCTAAACCCTAAACCCTAAACCCTAAACCCTAAACCACTACTATTATGGAATTCGGCCCTTAAAGAATCCTACCAAGGACGGTCTTTTGGGACCTAAGCCCAGAATGGTCGTCTATTTTGGAGCCTCTGGGTCTCCTGAGGGCTCCTCTTAAAGGGATCTATAAAGAAGGGTCTCTATAGGGTTCAGGGTTTAGGGTTTAGGGTTCAGGGTTTAGGGTTTAGGGTTTATGAAGGTCTCTTTTGGGTTGCCATAAGGGTACGATAAGGGTCTCTATAGGGTTGCCATAACGGTACCATAAGGCTATTTTGGGGGACCTAGGAGGGAACCTAATTTAGAGAACTACCTTGTGGGTTTAGCTATCACGGCTTGGGGTTGTGAGTTTAGGGTTTACGGTTTAGGGCTTAGGGATGAGTCTGAGTTTTCTTTTAAATGTGGCTTTGCAGGGTTTTGCAGTCAAAGAGTGTAGGGGTGTAGGGTCTAAGTATTTTAGGGTCTGGGGGCTCAAGCCAACATCCCCACACCTTGTGCATGCACGATAACCATGGCGACCATGTGCATTGCTGCTAAGCCCCACAGCCCTGAACTCTGAACCCGACACCCCTCTCAAATCCTTCGAGTAGCTCCATAGAGCCCTTACAGGGTTTAGGCTTTAGGGTTTAGAGTTTAGGGTTGAGGGTACCCCAAAGAAAACCCCTGAACCAACTTAAACTCCACTGTTCAGGCCATGGGGCTGGAGGCAGCGATTCAGGGTGTCCACGAGGATGTCACGCGGGAGGCGGACGAGCGCAACGAAGCGTTTCGGAGGCTCCTTGGAGCGGGCTTAACCCTACACCCTAAGCCCTAAAATTTATACCCTAAGCGGCCCTAAACCCTAAACCCTACACCCAAAACCCTCAAGTGTAGGGTAATTTATCGGGTTTAAGGTTTAGGGTTTAAGGCTTAGGGTTTAGGGTTTAGGGTTTAAGGTTTAGGGTTTAGGGTTTGGGGTTTGGGTCTATGGCCCGAGGGTACGGAGCCCTAAGCCACCAAACTCTCAGCCATACAGCCATTTGGGTGGTTGTCAAAATTATGGTCCCTTTTGGGGTACCCTAAATTTTAGGTGCCGTATTATAATAAGGACCCAAAAAGGGACCATAACTTTGACAACTGCCCATTTGAGTTTCAGACTGTTGGTCTCTTCTCCTTAGCCCCACCCCTACCACTTCTGAGGTTGGATGTGCGTACTTGGGTTTGGGGGGAAGCTTCGGGTGTAGGATGCGTCGGTTTAGGGGGTAGGGTTTGGGGTTTAAGGCTTTGGGGTTTAGGGTATAGGGTTTAGGGTTTAGGGTTTAGGGTTTAGGGTTGCGGGTTTGGGGCCAGGGTTTGTCCCCGAGCCGTTCGCCAAGGTTAGAGAGCCGCATCGCCGACGAGCGGCGGCAACTCGATACTACAGCGGCCGCTAGGTGGCACTTTGGGAAACTTCTTGATTTCCCATTCTGGTTCCTAAAGAGGTACCTATTCACAAATACCCTAAACCCTAAACCCCTAAACCCTAAACCCCGAAGCCCTAAACCCTAAACCCCTAAACCCCACACCCTACGCCCTAAACCACTAAGCCCTACACCCTAAACCCTACACCCTAAACCCTAAACCCTACACCCTAAACCCTAAACCCTTAAAGGCCACAAAACCACAACCAAGGCCACCCAGCTGCGCTCCATCGAGGAGCGCTTGCGGCAAGCGGAGGAAAACGCCAGGCCGCTGGCTTTTGGTTTAGGGTTTATAGGGTTTGGGTCTTAGGGTTTTGGGGTTTACTGTAGGGTTTAGGGTTCGGTTTGGGGTTTGGGGTTTTCGGGCTTACAACGGGGTTGTCCCTTCAACAACTATATAACTACATGATAAAAATACCGAAACCCTAGACCCTAAACCCCAAACCCCAAAATACATATGTACGCCAAAAAACCCCAAGCCTATTCTAAGTCTCAAGGCCCCCCCCCTAAACCCTAAACCCTAAACCCTAAACCCTAAACCCTAAACCCCTAAACCCCTAAACCCCTAAACCCCTAAACCCTAGAGTCGTTTCTTCGTTTTGCTCTTTCAGTCGTCGGGCCTCAGAGACTGAGCCCTCCACGCCTTAAAGCAGCCTCTGTATTTGAGCCCCTTTTTTGAGAGTCCTTATAGGGACCTATAAGGGTTTCTATAAAGGTACTATAAGGGTTCTATATGGGTAGTTCTCTAAATTAGGGTCCCTGTTTAGGTCACCAAAATAGTATCGCACCCTTAAAAAAAAGGACCATAAAGGGGACACTACTTTAGAGAACCACCCATCTCTGTGTGTGTGTGTGTATGACGAACAAGCAGCCACTCAGTATGTGTCTATATTCTATAACTTCATGTTTATACCTACTGAAATATCTAAAGTTGAATAAATTAGGGAAGAGATATACAAAGAACAAAGAGCTAACTGTAAAGACACACGTAGAAGCAAACCAGTGAAATTATATACATGAGCATACGCATAGTGTAAGTAAAAGAGCAAGTATGGGAATAAGTACATTCTATGTATGTCTGCATGCATGTATGTACGTATGTATGCATGCATGTATGTATGTATGTATGTACGTATGTATGTATGCATGCATGTGTATGTGTATGTGT